AGCTTGGACCTATCTCAGAGAGAGAGAGAGAGAGAACACACACACAGACAAAGAGAGGGAGAGAGAGAGAGAGAGAGAGAGAGAGAGAGAGAGAGAGAGAGAGAGAGAGAGAGATTATCTTTGGCTAGTGAAACAGCCAAATTGGGTAAAAGTGTTTGACACAAAAGCCCGACTTGTGTTTGGATTCCATCAGCGGAAGAGAGAATTGACTGCTGAAGGTTGAACTCTGTCCTCCACATGCTCACTGTGGCATGTGCCTGGACACGGACACACACACACACACACACACACACACACTCACTCACACACACACTCTCACACACACACTCACACACTCACTCACACACACTCACACACACACTCACTCACTCACTCACTACTCACACACACACACACTCACTCACACACACACTCACACACACACATACACACACACTCATACACACTCTCATACATGCACACACTCTCACACACACACATACATGCAATAATAAGTAAGCCTTTTGGTTATTTTTATGTTGTATGAATTATTTAATCTCTGAAAAACTGTCAGATTAGAAAAATCACTTAAGAGTAAATGGTAGCTCTTTCCATATTCAATTTAAAAAATTTAAATGTTTTTTAAATTATTACTAATGTGTGTGTGTGTGTGCAGGTGTGCACATGCCACCTTGTTGAGATGGGGTCTCATTTTGTTTTTCATTTAATTTTTTTCATTTTACATACCAACCACAGATCCCCCTCTCTTCCCTCCTCCCCCCTCATCCTCCCCCCCCACACACCCTGCCTCATTCTGGCTGCTGTACTTCCTACTTCCAGCCAGACTGCCCACATCTTGATTTTTCACTTGGTTCTGGGGTTGAACTCAGGTCATCAGGCTTGTGCCCTGAGCATTTTTAGATACTGGATATCTTTCCATCTTTCCAGCCCTTAAACTTCATTTATCAGTGTGTGTGTGTGTGTGTGTGTGTGTGTGTGTGTGTGTGTGTGTGTGTGAGAGAGAGAGAGACAGAGAGAGACAGAGACAGAGACAGAGACAGAGACAGAGAGAGAAAGAGAGAGAGGCAGACGGATGGACGGACAGAGGAGTACAGAGGACAGTTTTGTAGTTTGTGTTCCAGCGGCTTGCAGGGCAGTGTCCAGACCCTCCCTGCTGAGCCATCTCTCCAGCACTCCGTCCCCACGTGTGACATCTTACTGAGGTTCCCTCAAGTCAGAACCCACTTTCCTTCCTCTCCTTTACCTGTTGGTGTGGAGCTTGAGCTGAGAATTCATAGGCATCAGAATCTGCTCGGGTTGGCAATCTGCATAGAAAAGTTGGAGTTTTTCAAACACCTATAGGGAGAAAATAATTTTTCCTTCATTTCAGGCAAAGACAAGTTGTGATCTTTACTCACATATGGGTTTCAGGACAATCCATTGGGAACTGTGTGTTGAACATGCGCAGTAACTACAAGTCACCAGTCTGTCGGACTTATAGTTAGTCTAATCATCCCACCATACTCCGTCCTGAAGCAAGCCATGGACTTTCTACATCCTCGGATACAAACTAGAGTGTACAATCTAAAGCTGAGCTAGTAGCACACACCTTTAATCCCAGCACTCAAGGGACAGAGGCAGGTGGCAGAGTCTGTGACTTTGAGGCTAGCCTGGTCTATATAGAGAATTCCAGAACAGCCAGGACTACATAGAGAGACCCTGTCTCCAAAAACTAAACTAAACTATTATTAAAATTGATATTATTATACATTATATGTTAGTAAAATAATATATTATTTAAAACTATATATTCTCATAGCTCTATTCCTGAAGTACTGGCCATGTGGCAAATCCCACTGGCTACAGCCTCTGTGGTCGATTAAAGGTACTTTGAGACCTGGTTTTAGCTCTGCTCCCTGAACTGGGATCTGGGAGCAAAGACTCACACTGTTAGCAGAGGCGCCATCCAGGTCCCCTGCTGCCTACTCAAGTGTCCTTTCCTATACTGAATCAAGGAACCAAGGACAAAAAAAGGGAAAGATCGTTTGTCTTTTGTCTTTTATTTATTTACTTTTTTTTTACACTTACTATTTGTGTGTGTGGGTTGCACACATGCACATGCATGTGCGTGCCGCTGTATTTGTGTGGAGGTCAGAGGACAACTGTTTTGGTTTTTTTTTAAGTTTAAGGGAGAGGACAGCTTTTTGGAGTTGGTCTCGACTCCAGCTTTGTTGAGGCGGTGTTTTTCGTTTCTGCCGTGTGACTCGGCGCCAGCCCAGAGTCTTGGCCTCCCTTCTCTTGTAGGGGTCCTAGGATTACAGATGTGCACCGCCATATCTGCCTTTTTCACGTAGGTTCTAGGAATCAGATTCAGGTTCCCAGGCTTTTGCAGCAAGCACTTTGCCCTCTGGGCACCCCTGCAGCCCCCACTCAGGATTTCTTCTAGAATGCAGTGATAAGGCATGAGAGACCTTAGTTTCACAGATTGGAGCTGTGCCCAGCAACACATCTGCTGCACCGAGAGAAATGTGATTCAGGTGGGCACTTACCAGGATCTGAATCTCGTCAGACAGTTCCAGCACACTCCCCTCAAACTGCCCAAAGGTGCTGCTCTCACTTCGGACAGTGACCTTGATCGTGGTCCTGCCGGCCGCTTTTGTGTGGACAACCATGGCGAAGTTGTTCTCTGCTGGAAGTTGCAGAAACACCTAGACAATAAAGGGAATGAAAAAGCATTCATGAGGTGAGGGCTGGGCTGGAGGTCTGTGCTTGCTTCTCATGTAGAGAGGCCTGGGTTCCATTCCAAGTACCACATAAGGGGAGTGGTCTGCAGATCTGTAATCTTGGTGCTCAAGGGGCTGAGGTAAGAGGATCAAGAGTTCAAGGTAGAACCTGGTGGTGGTGGTGGTGGTGGTGGCCACATAAGCACTTAATTCCAGCATTTGGGAGGCAGAGTCAGGTGGATCTCTGAGTTCAAGGCCAGAATGAGTTCCAGGATAGCCAGGGCTACATAATAATAGATACTCTGAAATTTGCTATGTAGATCAGGCTAGATTAGAACTCAGAGACCTGCTTGCCTCTGCCTCCCAAAGAGTTCTGAGATCAAAGGCATGCATCATTATACCCAGCTTAGAGATAGTCTTTAAAAAAAAAAAAAAAAAAGATTTAATTTTATTGCTGGGAGGTAGTGGCTCACACCTTTGATCCCAGAACTCTTTAGGAGGCAGAGGCAGGCAAATTTCTGTTAAATCCAAGGCCAGCCTGGTTTATAGAGGGAGTTCCAGGACAGCCAGGGATATCACACAGACAAACCCTGTCTCAAAAACAACAGAAATAAACAAAGAAAAAGATTTAATTTTATACACATTAATGTTTTGCCTGCACTATGTCTGGGCACCATTTGCATGTAGTACCCACAGAGGCCAGGAGAGGGAGTTGGAGCCCCTTGAGCTGGTCATGAGCAGCTATGTGAGTGTTGGGAATCAAACCCAGGTCCTCTGAAAGAGCAGTGAGTGCTCTTAACTGCTGAGCCAATTCTGCAGGCCAGAGACATAGTCTTAAATTGCATTGTTCATTGTCTCTATGTCCATCCAGATCCACCAGAGACCAAAGACAACCATGACAGGGCAGTTTGGTTAGCCATCCATTAAAGCACTCAACGGAGATCCATCTGCCATGGCAGCTGGATAGCATCCATGATACCTGACAAGCCACCGAGGGAGGGGTTCCAGCTCTCAGTATGACAGGCTCAAAATCTGTATCTGTGTATGTGGTTTTTAAACTGTGATTATTTTATTTATGTGTGTGAGCACACACGTATGTGGGTCACAGGATAACTTATGCCATTGTTTCTCTCCTTCTATATTGTGTGTAAACCAGAAGTCAATGCTGGACGTCTTCCTCAGTGGCTTTCCACCTTATTTTTTTTTTTTTTTTTTTTTGGTTTTTCGTGACAGGGTTTCTCTGTGTAGCTTTGTGCCTTTCCTGGAACTCACTTGGTAGCCCAGGCTGGCCTCGAATTCACAGAGATCCGCCTGCCTCTGCCTCCCGAGTGCTGGGACTAAAGGCGTGCGCCACCACCGCCCGGCCCCACCTTATTTGTTAAGACAAGATTTCTTTCTTCCTTTTTCTTTCCTTCTTTCCTCCTTTCTTTCTTTCCTTCTTTCTTTCTTTCCTTCTTTCTTTCTTTCTTTCCTTCCTTCCTCCCTCCCTCCTTCCCTTCTTTCTTTCCTCCCTCCCTCCTTCCCTTCTTTCCTCCCTCCCTCCCTCCCTCCCTCCCTTCTTTCTTTCTTTCTTTTTTTTCCAGACAAGGTTTCTCTATGTAACAGCCCTGACTATCCTAGAACTCATTCTGTAGACCAGGCTGGCCTCGAACTCACAGAGCTGCCTCTACTTCCCGAGTTCTGGGATTAAAGGCTTGCATCAACATCACCCAGCAAGACAGGATTTCTTACTGAAACGGGAGCTCTTCAGTTGGACTAGAGTAGCTGGCCAGAGGCCCCAACACTGCGGCTTTTTACATCGATACTGAGACTCCAAAGTCAGGACCTCATGCTTGCACTTATAGATGTTATGAAAGCATTAAGGCTCTCGAGACACTTAATTGACGTAACCAGGCCATGAAATGTCCTCAGCAAACAGAAGAGACTGAAAATTCAGAGTCTCAGATTTCAGATTTGAACGCTCACAAATCTGGAAGAGATCTAGGCAGAGGTGGTGCACACCTTTAATTTCAGTACTCAGGAGGCAGAGGCAGGTGGATCTCTGAGTTTGAAGCCAGCCTGGTCTACAGAGCAAGTTCCAGGATGGCCAGGACTACACATGAAAATCCTGCCTCAAAAAAAAAAAAAATCTAGAAAAGAAAAACTGACATTTACATCATTTCAGATTGAATTATAAATTCCTAGGCAAAAATAAATTCAGGTAACAGGACACATCTATTACTTTTATTTTATTTTATTTTCTGATTTTTATCTTTCATTTGAAGTACAAATAAACTAATTTTTATGCTTCTACATTTAAATGATAAACTTCCCCTCCCCCCCTTTTTTGGGTTTTTGTAGATAGGGTTTTACTGTGTAGCTCTGGCTGTCCTGGAACTCACTCTGTTGACCAGGCTGGCCTCAAACTTACAGAGATCCACCTGCCTCTGCCTCTCAAGTGCTAGAATTAAATGTGTGCGTCACCACTGCCCAGTTAAGTGATAAACTTTTGCATGAATAAAATTATGTCACTTTAGGCCTAATCAATGAAAGAATGAACAAGTCATAAGACAACAAAATGGTTCCTAAGGGAGGCCAGACATGATGGTGCACCTGTAATCCCAGTACTCAGAAAGCAGAGGCAGGAGGATCGCTGCAAGTTTTCGGCCAACCTGGTCTACACAGTGAGTTCCAGGACAGGCAGTACTAAATAGTGGAACCCTGTCCAAAAACATTGTGGGGGGTGAAGGGCCAGAGGGAAGCAGGTAAGAGCACTTGCTCTTGCAGAGGACCGCAGCTCACACCTGCCTGTGATGGGGCTGATCCTTCTTGCCTCCAAGGACACCTGCACACATTATATACCTCTTATTAAAAATTAAAAATAGCCGGGCGTTGGTGGCGCACGCCTTTAATCCCAGCACTCGGGAGGCAGAGCCAGGCGGATCTCTGTGAGTTCGAGGCCAGCCTGGGCTACCAAGTGAGCTCCAGGAAAGACACAAAGCTACACAGAGAAACCCTGTCTCGAAAAACCAAAAAAAAAAAAAAAAATTAAAAATAAATCTTAAAACTCCCATGTCGAGGTTGGGGATTTAGCTCAGTAGGAGAGCACTTGCCTAGCAAGTGCAAGGCCCTGGGTTTGGTCCTGGAAAACAAAACAAAACAAAACAAACCTCCCATGTCAATACAATAAACAGATAAGTTCCTACCTCTGAATGCCTGGGTACCAGATCCAGCACATCCCTTTTGCTCATGGACCAGTGGAAAGTGAGCATGGGGCTGGCATTGCTGAAGGAGAAAGGAGTCTGGGTACTGGTCACCCCCATGACATAGACTGGCATCTGAAAAGAAAGTGTGGGATTGTGCTATATCCCCTGCTTACCTAGCATTATCAGAATAGTGAGCCCAGAACATGGCTCTCATTCCAACCTCAGAGTTGGGCATGGTGGCACATACCTGGAATCCCACAATTTTGGAGGCTGAGGCACAAGGATTTTCTTGGTTTCAGGCCAGCCAGGGCTACATAGCAAGACTCTGTATCAAGAAAACATGCACATAGGAGCTAAAGAGACAGCTCAGCCATTGAGAGCACTGGGTTCTCCTCAGCAGGACCCAGGCTCCATTCCCAGCACCCACGTGGTGGCTTACAACTGTCTCTAACTCCAGTTCCAGGGATCCAGTGCCTTCTTCTGCCTTCCATACATGTGCTACACAGACACACATGTGGGAAAACACCCATATGCACAGAATAAAAATAAATTCTCTCTCTCTCTCTCTCTCTCTCTCTCTGGTTTTTTGAGACAGGGTTTCTCTGTGTAACAGCCTTGACTGTCCTCCAACTCGCTTTGTAGACCAGGCCGGCCTTGAACTCACTGAGATTTGCCTGCCTCTACCTCTGCAGTGCTGGGATTAAAGGGATGCCCGGCAGTAATAAATAGATCTTAGAAAAAAAATAATAAACCCAGGTTTGGGGGGGAGGGAGAGCGAAGCGGGGGAGGACCCCAGGCACACTTGCTTTGCACGACTGACCTCCGTGGCTGTGATGAGTCGGGTCGCAGCGGCCAGGATCCTAACAGCCCGCAGCTGCACAACCTCAATCTGGACTTCATCCTGCTCAACAAGAGGAGAGCAAGCTTAGGCTAGGGGAGTTCCTGTGGCTGACAGAGATGCTTACAGCTAGCTCCTTATCCTATTTCTGATGTTCAACAACAGCAAAAAGCCCGACCACGTATCTTTGCCTTTGTCCTTTAAAAAAGTTCTAACCCTTGCCGGGCAGTGGTGGCACACGCCTTTAATCCCAGCACTCGGGAGGCAGAGCCAGGCGGATCTCTGTGAGTTCGAGGCCAGCCTGGGCTACCAAGTGAG